TCCCGCACTCTGAATCCCTCGGCCCCACCCCCAGCCTGGAGCCGCCTCCTGCACCCAAACCCCTCATCCCCTGCCCCAGCCCAAATCCCGTACCCGCTTCTGCACCCCAACCCCCTGCCCCCAGCCCAGAGCCCCTTCCCGCACTCTGAATCCCTCGGCCCCACCCCCAGCCTGGAGCTGCCTCCTGCACCCCAAACCCTTCATCCCCAGCCCAAAGCCCATACCCCCTTCTGCACCCCCACCCCCCTCCCCCCGCCCGGACCCCCCTCCCCCACTCTGAATCCCTCGACCCCACCCCCAGCCTGGAGCCGCCTCCTGCACCCCAAACCCTTCATCCCTGGCCCCACCCGAGAGCCCTCCAGCCCAAATCCCATACCCCCTTCTGCATCCCTACCCCCTTCCCCAGCCCCTCCCACATTCCAGATCCTTCGGCCCCACCCTTCCGCCTGGGCCACCTGCCACCATCACATTGCCATGGCTGGTGCCACGCGTTGGCAGGTTTGCCAGTGTGACGAAGTGGGAATGTTCTTAATGTTTTCTCTGAATACTGTGTGGGTGCCTCAGTTTCCCCTATGCATTTCTTAAGTATCTAGGTGGGGGGATCAGGGTATGTGATTGTTGCAGAGCCCAGGAGGGTCCCTGTGATACCATCTGCACAGAGAATGGCCGACACTCTGTCTCCTGGCAACTAATGGCCTGGGCCCCTCCTCTACAAAGGTGCCAACTGAAGGTGTTGGGGAACAAAGAGATCAGGTGACCTCCTGGCCCGGGAAAGGGAGAGGAGGGGCTGGAGAGTTTCAGTTTGGAGCTGGCTGGGGAAATGGAGGGAGGGCCAGAGGGGCTCTGGCCTCCCTGCCTCCCCAAGATGGACCTGACTGAGGGGTCCTGTTCTCTGTACCTACAAGCTCTGTTTTAGACCGTGTTCCTGTCATCTAATAAACCTCTGTTTTACTGGCTGGCTGAGAGTCACGTCTGACTGCGAAGTGGGGGTGCAGGAACCTCTGGCTTCCCCAGGACCCCGCCTGGGCGGACTCGCTGAGGGAAGCGCACGGAGGGGCAGAGGATGCTGAATGCTCCAAGGTCAGACCCAGGAAGGTGAAGCCGTGGGAGCTGCTTGCCCTGGAGACAGTCTGCTCACAGGCCCTAACCCGTGGCCCGTTTCCCGCACTGAGCCTCCAGACCCTGCCGGAGTCCAGATTCAGACTGACCATGTCTAGGTCTGTTTCAGCGCCTCGGCTCCTGCAGCGACATGGGCCCTTCTTCCCGACGGGTGGGAGCGGGTAGGTCGCTGCTCCGTGCAATGCCCAAGGCTGGGGGAGGGGTAGGTCCCTGCTGTGTGAGATGCCCGGGGATGCAGGGGGGAAGACCCCTTCTCTATGGGATGTCTGGGGCAGGGGAGGGGCAGGTCCCCGCTCTGTGTGAGGCCCAGGGGCAAAGGGAGGGGCAGGTCCCTGCTCTCTAGGTGCAGTGGGGGACGGGTAGGTCCCAGCAGACACTGCCTGAGGATCTGTGGGGTGCTGGGAGGTTACGGCAGGAGCGTTACTGCAGCCAGGCAGTTTTTGGCAGGGCTGATTCCTCTGAGGCAATGCATTAGCATTAGGGCTGCGAAGACCAGGAGGACGTTTGTCGACAGCAAATATTTGGTTTAATCCAGCTCCTCTCCCTTGTCTGGCTGGAACAACACAGAGAGCAGATTTCAGGCCGCGCCACTCGTTTCAGTGTTTGCAGAGAAACACTGACAAACACTGCCGCCCTCGCCCCGCGGCCTGTGACCGGAGCGTCCAAAGCCACGGGATTAAACTGGAATGGCAGGTGAGTTCAAAGCGTATTAAAGCAAGGGACTCAAAGCCCTAGCCAGAGCTAAGCGCAATACGGGCACCTGCTCTGCTAGCCCTCGCAACTCAGACCTGACCCACAGCAACCCCGCATCCCCAGTCCGAATCCTCCCCCACCTCTGCTAATGCCCGAGGCTGCTGACTCGCTGTACACCCCACATTCTCTGCAATGCACCTCCGTCCTGTCTTAACCCCCCGCTATTCCAGTCCTGGGCCTCTCTTGAACAGAGATGCCAATGGCCCCAAATTGTGTGGCATCGCACTTCAGCTCTGAGCAGCGACCCACGGAGGAGGCGGGGGGGCGGAGGGAGACACACAGCCAGCCTGTCTGCTTGAAGCCAGACAGCGTTAAAAGAAATGCAGCGCTTGATTCTGTCCTGGCTCTTGCCTGTAATTGAAGGAGCTGGGAGCTGTAATAACCAGAATTAAAAGGATTCACCTAGGGATGGGAATGAAATCAGATGCCAACAGGTGAATTCAAGTGGGTAAACTCCCCCATCTCTCCGGCAGCCCAACCCCCATCCGAGTTTGCAGCCAGTCTCCAGTTTCAATTTGTCTCCTTCCTCTGGGAGATTTAACCTCCGAGTATCTCTCTTCATTTAAAGAGACAAATTTAGCTGCCTAGAAGTGTTGGTGCCGAATCAGGCCCTTATAACCTAATGCTACGTGAGAGGCAGGTGGTGGATACCTGGATACCAGCTAACTAGCTATACGGTGCATCAGAAAACAGAGACAACAATGCAGAGCGCTTCCCTTCTATCTATGACCCTGGCCCTGCGATATCTGAGCACCTCACAATGCAGTTGCCCTCCTAACCCCCCCTGCGTGGCAGGGCAGGGCTGGAATTCTCGCCGTGTAGCAGTGAGACTAAAGGACTTGCCCAAGGTCACGCAGGGTGCTCTGTAGCGGAGCAGAGAATGGACTCCAGGGCTCCCGAGTCCCAGGCTAGTGCTTGGTCTGCTTCCCCATATGTGCTCAGTACCACAGAGTGAAGGGGCCCAGGGTCACAGCTTTGGTGTCGGGAAAGGTAGGAGCAGGGCAAGTTGCCCGCACCACTGCACTTCACTCCCATTCAGCCTTGGCCTCTCTGCCCGGGCGGACAATTAATACCGATTAGGACAAGGGTTTCACTAAGAACTGGACTGGGACCCACCCAGTCATGCACAGGCTCCTACAGAGGAACAATCTCCAGTCACGAATGACTGGGGCACCTGGAAGCAAACAGCATCACAGCGCCTTGCTAACTCCCTGTGCCACTCAGCACACCCGGCTGAAGCAGCCACGTGTCCTAGTGGCTCTGAATACGGTAGCGATTACATGGAGCAAAGATGGGGTCAGGGCCCTGTTCCTCTGGGACTGGTCTCGTACTGACCTTTGCTGGCCAAGGCATAGACTCTCCTGCGGGGTTTGCTCCCCAGCCCGGGCCATTCACCCACTGGGTGTTGGCAGGAAAGCCAGAAATGGATTTCAGGCCACGTGAGGGGGTGTCCACCCCATGCAAGCCCATAGTGGGTTAACGGGGTCCAGCAGGGACCAATTAACCTTAGATGCTGCACTGAGAGGAGAGCCAGGGCGCTCAGACAAAGCCCGGCTGGGGGGAGAAGCTGGGCTCGGATGATAAAGCCAGGAAGTGAGAGCAGGAGGGGGCTGCAGGGAAGGGGCTGCAGTTGCTCCTCACAGGGAAAGGGAGTTGGCCAGGGACAAGGAGGAGGTCCGGGGGAGAGTAAACGCTGGGGTCCTGCCCTGGACTGGAGAGTCGGGCAAGAAGCCGAGAGGGGTGAAGTAACTATGGGGAGCACAGGAAGCTCTGCTGGCAAGCCCAGAGATAGGCAAGGAGACAGAGAAGGGGGTAGGAAGGAGCCCAGGGAAACAGCAACAGGGTCTGAGACTGAGCAGATCTAGGTTGCTAGTCACAGGGTCCCTGGGTTGGATCCTGGAGTAGCACGTGGGCCTGGGTTCCCCTACCAGCCGCCGGGAAAGTGTCACCAAGCTGGGAGTTGAGCAGAAGACTGCCCAAGATGGCATCCAGATAGCTTGTCTGGTGGGACTTTGTTACCCTGGAAGGGCGGGGCGGGGTGGCGGACTACATAGTGATCTAGCCGGAGGGCCGAGTGCCAAAGAGGAAGCACCCTGAGTCATGGAGAGAGAGAAGGGCCACAGTGCAAGCAACTGATGGAAAGGGGCGCCAGATGGGGCAAGAGCTAATTCCCAGACCCAGCCACAAGGAGGCGCACATGCAGTGAGTGGACCCTTCACAGACCATGATGGAAGAGCAGGTGCGGTTACTTTGCCAGTTCTCCAAGACCCCTGGGTCGTCTCCCAGGCCATTAAAAAGCAAACTGTATGCACACTCAACCTGCACGCCCACCTGCACACCGCCATCTATTCTGCACACACCCCCCTCCACCCACCCATGCCCATACACAAAGGCAGAAATTCATACAATAAGATCTTCGCTTACCAAGTAAAGCTGCCACTTCGTAGGCTTTCTTCTGCTCAATTGTCTCATAGTTGAGTGCTTCAAAAAATATATCCAGCACGAGAATATTCTCTCTGTAGAAACAGGACAAAGCCATCAGAACACCAGCCCCCGGCAGCTGCATTTGCCTTGTAACAGGAAATGAAGTGGGATTAGTTTGCCTTCACCTGTTATCCCTGCTGCTTTCTCTGTGGAGGCCTTGGCAGCTCCACCAACACAAGCTGAAATTCAGAGATTTTAAAGCCGGAAGGAGCCATCATGACCATCCAGTCTGATCTCCTGCTTAACCTCACCCAGAGATTCCTGCATCAAGCCCAAATCTTGTAGCTGAGCAAGTGCATATTGTTTAGAAAGAGACACCTGGTCCTGATTTCATCTTTCTCCTGTGGGGAGGGCCTGCTTAGAATGGCAGGTGACGCAAGGACCCTTAACACATGGAATCACTACCAATGCTGCTCCTGGGCACCGCAGGAGAGAGGGAGAGTCAAATTCTTTCCTTGATGCATCAAACTGCTAATTCCACCCATCCGCCCTCTAGATCCCAGGTTCATACGGGCTGCGCCCACACCACAGAAAGATGTCTTTGCTGCAGTAAAAGGTGTGGTTTTCACATCGCGACAGCTATCTTGATTTAAAAGCTAATGGAGCCAATGCAGAGGGATGACCTTGAGTAGCCATACTCAGGTAACAGCTACCGGTGCCTTGTCTCCATTTGGATTTTATGCTGTAGGTCCATGTAAAACACACTCACTTCTGCAGTGAAGACACAGCCAGAATGTGGCGTTAGCAGAGGAGGGTTTAGGTCCTGAAAGGATCTGGCCTGGGTAACCCTGTTTTACAGATGCTGTTCACTCATGATACCTATTTATCTATGGTGTTTATCTGGCCCCCGTGACCATAACATCTGAGCACCTCACAATTTTTACTGTATTTATCCTCACAACCCCCCCTGGGAGACAGGGCAGGGCTGCTATCCCCATTGCACAGATGGGAAAACTGAGGCACAGAGAGGCTCAATGACCTGGCCATGGTCACAGAGGAAGCTCCCAGCAGAGCAGGAACTTGTATCGAGGACCCAGGCAAGTGCCTAGCCACCAGGCAAAGTAACTTTTCTGAGCTCAGCTAATGACTCTGCATGTGCCCACATTCTTCTCCACCTTCAGCTTTCCTGTCAGAAAGATGTTGGACCTTCAGCTTCTGGTTAATGATGCCTGCAGAAATGTGAACAGCATCCTTGGGGCAAACAGCCTTTTATTACTACTTGTATGACCCACAGGGCTGGGTGCTGCACTGACACATTGTGAGGGACAGTCCCGGCTCTGAAGAGTTTACAAACTACATAGACAAGGCAAAGGGTGGGAGAGGCAGCGATTTGCCCAATGACAGCACAGCTGCAAACAGAACGGAGATCTCCTTGCCCCTAGTGTGTGTGGCCCTGGCACAGCCATCCTGTCTGCTCACGCCACCCACTCATACCATCACTACTGTGAAAAGGGAGGAACCGGCAGCACTGGGCCGATGCCCTCACTTACGAGATGTATTTTTCAGACTTGTTAAACTTCTTCTCCAGGTACTTGGCCGAAGTCTTGCTGGGGATCTTCACCATGGAGAGCTCTTTGTTGTACCTGGTCAGGTTACACGGCATCCTGCAGGTACAGTAATTGCTGTCCTTTTCAGCAAGCAAACCTGCAAACAGGGGAGGGAAGTGGGTCTCAGGGAGCGTCCCAGACAGCTCACAGGAGCTGGTGGGCGGGGTGGTTCAAACAAGCCCTTTCTTCTTGATGATTCAAAGCAAAGGGGGGATGGAAGGGACTTCCCTGTCCAGGGAAGGGCTGAACAAGCCAACTCTTCGATAAGAAGAGGTAGAGTTTCTACCCATTCAAACCATCCCTCTGCTGCAGCCATTCTTATCAGCCTGGGAGATCGAGACAGCCCTTCCCCAGGACTGGTCCAGAGCCCAGGTTTGCTGGGGGTGGACAGACGCAGCTCTTCCATCTCCAGCCAGGTTTGGGCTCCACCCTGGGGCAATCCAGGAGGCTGCGTTGGGATAAAGGCCTTACTGGAGAGATGGGGGCCTTGAAGATGGTGGGTAAAATCTTCAAAAGCATCTAAGTGGCTTAGGGACCTAAGCCTCACTTTCAAAAGTGACTTAGGCCTGGTCTATATTTAAAAGGTAGGTCGCCGTAGCGACATCGCTCAGGGGGTGTGAAGAATGCACACCCCTGAGCACCAAAGCGACACCAACCCCCGGTGTAGGCACAGCTAGGTCAATGGAAGAATGCTTCTGTCACCCTAGCTACCATCACTCGGGGAGACTGTGTTCCTACGGCGATGGAAAAACCCCTTCCATTGGTGCAGGCTGGTTACAGCAGCATAGCGATGACACCACGGCTGTGCCATTCTGGGCCCCGTAGTGTAGACACGGCCTTAGGGCCAGATTTTTAAAGGTATTTAGGTGCCTAAGGATGCAGGTAGGTGCCTAGTGGGATTTTAAAACCGCCTAGGTGCCTAATTCCCTTTGGGCACTTTTGAAAATACTACTAGGCGCTTACTGGTGTCTTTAGTCACCTAAATGCCTTTAAAATATGGCCCCAAGTGCTTTTAAAAAAAGGACTTAGCCTCCTAAGTGACTTAGGTGCTTTAGAAAATGTTACCCTTTATTTCTATCCTTCGCTTTTAGCTAAAGTGGTGTCAGGGGTGTGTTACATGACAATTAAAAGAGATTAAACAGTATGGAGATGACCAGCTTAAGGGAATTTCTGTTAATGTTCCTCCCACAAGCCTTACAGCTTGGACACACGGTTAAAGCCAATACAGACATGCAAATATTTGGCATTTCACAAACAACCGGACCTCGAACACAGCACAGGTCCCTATGGACTGCCCCGCCACTCACCTCACTGCCTTACGGGTATGTTCATCTGCAGAACACACAATTAGTGAGGCATATGTTGAAATACTCTGCAGGCACATCTGCTGTGTCACAGTTAAGTTTGTTTGCGAACACATCAGATGGCATGTTATATGGTGTTTCTGAGGGCCTGCTGTTTCACAACTGTTTATCCCAAACTTCTGAAACTCTGCAAGAAAATTCTCTTCTGAGCTGAAAATGACCCCCAAATACTATTATTATTGTTTGTTGGGGTGTATAGGGTGAGCTCTGCATAGTAAACAGCCACACGTACATGGGGTGTTTGTTTGCAGTTGGTCCTAGCAACTCACTCATCAATCATTAGTGACCCCAAGTAGCTACGTGTGCTCTGCAGCACAGGGACCTTGCCTCTGGGACCATGGCCCGGGACCGTGCCTCTGCTGGCATGCTAAACCTCGCGATCATAGCGAGCAGCAATAGCCACTAGCGAAAGGGAATGTATGGCTGTCCAAGTGCATCATGTCTCCTATGGTGAAGCTGGCAAAACAACTTTCCAAGTTGGTGGGAGTGGTGATGGAGAAAGCTAGTGGATAGCTTCGAGCTTTGGTGCAGATGGATTATGATACACTGGTCAACCACAAAGCCAAGGAGTCACGGTCAAACACATGGAGACTACTGGACCATAGAAACTGAATGAAGACTGGAAAGAGAAAGAAAAGTATCCCAGCTCGGTTGTCGCCCAGACAGACAAGGGCTGCGATCACTGATCAGACACTGAGGCAGGGGCAAAAAGTTTGAGATCAGAACAGACACAAACAAAACAGCAGGCGGAACAGGGAATGACGTGATGAACTCAAAGGACAAGACTTGTTGGAACATGGAATGGAAGAACATTATACCAGGCTGGAGGACATGTGGTAATGATGCACGAGCTGAAAAGATATGAGTGGGAAATCATTGGTCTGTGTGAACCAAGATGGGAAGGCAAAGGAGAATTCTCCCACGAGGATATTGACACCAGGAAGAGAAGATGGCGGACACCAGGACAGAGTTGCATTGGTGATAAAGCCTAAGCCACATCAGGCTCTTATAGCATTTAACCTGCTATCTGCTCATATGCTGAAGGTGAGATTCAGAATCAAATCTCATGGAGTTACAATAGTACAATTACATGTGCCGACCTCAGCAGCCCCCAGAACTCGATGAATTTTATAACGCTCTACAGAAAACAATACCAGAAGTTTCAAGACAAGACATGTTATGATGATGGGAGATTTTAATGTGAAAGTAGGCTAGGACTGGCATTCCTGCGCTGGAGCAGTAGGCAGATTTGGATTAGGTGAAGAAAACGGGAGAGGAGAAAGGCTACTAAATTCCTGCCTAAGCAACAATCTGCTGACAATGACCATGCTATTTCCACGAAGCAAGCCGTGGAGGAAGTGGACATGGCTATCACCTGATGGGCAAAAGAAGAACATGGTAGACTTTGTGCTTGTGAATCACAGACGGAAATCAAATGTGTTGTTGTGCAGATCATTTGTGGCTGATATCAGACCAGATCAAATGTTACTGCTGGCATCAATGAAGTGGAGGCTGAGAGCAATCTGAAAAGTGCCAAGAACTGAAATCTATGACATGGGCAAGTTCAAAGAGTCCGATATGAGGAAAGAATGTGCCGGAAAACATCACCTCTCTGGTGAATGAAGAAACGAGCGTTGAAGAGACAAGGAACAGCGTAAAAATGGGATTACGAGAGCGGCTGAACAAGTTTAGGATTACAAGGCCAAGGAGGATAACGGATGAAGTGCTGCAGTTGAGTGACAAGCACAGAAGAACAAAAAGGAGGATGTGAGTCTAAGAGCTGAGTACACCATAAAGGCTCACCATAAAGATAAAACCAAAAGTGAAGAGACACAGAAACAACTGGGGTAAGCGAACAATGCAAAGAAGGCGAAGAATAGGCAAAGAGAACGGTGACACAGAGGTTGTATCACAAGATAAGAGAACTGAGTGGGACATATGAATTGAAGAGGTTGGTGGTAAAGACAAGTGAGAACAAATAATCGAGGACGAACAAGGAAAGAATAAGTGATGGAAAGAATACTTTGAAGAGCCGTACAATGTGCAGAACGTAGTAGAGGAAACAGCCCCGGAGAAGCGTCCCAGCACAAATGAGGGAGAGCAGATGCCGGAATTCTTAGAAGAAGAAGCTAAGATCTTAATAGAACGTTTGAAAAACAAAAAGGCACCGAGAAGTGACAAGGTAACTGCGGAGCTGCTCCAAGCAGGTGAGGAACATACGGTAAAGGCAATGCACAAGCTATTCAAGCAGGTCGACAAACAAGAGCAAGTATCCAGCGAACCGGGGAAAGTAATTATAGTATCGCTCTACAAAAAAAGGAGATACGAGGGAGTGCGAGAACTGCAGAGGACTCAACGTATTGAGTGTGCCGGGAGAAGCATTCACCAAGATGTAGCAGAAGGGGAATGTGGAAGTGGCGCTTTCAGAGGAACTAGCCCGGAAATACAATAGATAAGTTATTTGTGATAAGACAGACACTAGAGAAATACATAGTACACAACCGAACCTGTTACAACCATTTTAGAGACTTCAAATGGGCTTTTGACAGCATTTGGCCAAAGGCTTGTGGTAAGTTATAAGACTGTACAGCACCCCTGAAAAACTGGTGAAGCTAACAGAGACTGTCTACAGCAAGTCGATGAGGGTGGTGAGAGTAGACAAAAAGGCTGATGGGGTGGGTCAGGCCAACCACGGAAGTGAGACCAGGATGCATTCTATCCCTGGATTTGTTCAGCCTGGTACTGGACACAGTGATGGCTGTAGCATTGAGACATGAAATGGGAGGACAGTGCATAACCTTGGATATTGACCACACAGCATTGACCAAGGAGGGTTTACAGACAAGGTAGACCAGGAAAGCAGAAAATCTGGGTTGAAGATCAGCTTGGAGAATGGAGATATCCCATCTCCTAGAACTCGAAGGTACCTTGAAAGGTCAGCGAGTCCAGCCCCCTGCCTTCACTAGCAGGACCAAGTACTGATTTTGCCCCAGATTCCTAAGTGGCCCCCTCAAGGACTGAACTCACAACCCTGGGTTTAGTAGGCCAATGCTCAAACCACTGAGCTATCCCTCCCCCTCAAAGATCAAAATGACACCAGTTGGAGGACAAGAGAAAGAGGGAAAGGTCAAACTCAGAGACGAAGAACTAGAACAAGTGGGAAAATGGGTGTGCCTTAGACGACTGGTTTCAGAGTAGCAGCCGTGTTAGTCTGTATCTGCAAAAAGAACAGGAGTCCTTGTGGCACCTTAGAGACTAACAAATTTATTTGAGCATAAGCTTTCGTGGGCTACAGCCCACTTTTTCGGAGGACTGGTATCGAAGAAAGGGAAGTATGAAGATGATGTAAAGAGAAGAATTGGATTAGCCACTTATGCATTTGGAAAACTCAGCATGATCTGGGAGGCTAAAGACATTTCAATAAACCAAAAATCAACATATATGAGCTATCTGTCACACTGATAGTGCTGTACGGGTCGGAAATCTGCAGTCAGAAGAAAGCCATGACAACAGATTTTGACTGCAGAAATGAAGTGGCTGAGGGGAATACTGCGAATTTCAAGATTGCAGAAAATAAAAAATGAAGAGATAAGAAAACAGGAATAGGTTATTCTCATTAAAGGTTACAGGAGAATAGATGTGTGTGTGTGTGTGTGTGTGTGTGTATGAGAGAGAGAGAGAGAGAGAGAGAGAGAGAGAGAATGAGGCTTAGGCCTGGTCTACACTAACCCCCCAATTCGAACTAAGGTACGCAACTTCAGCTATGTGAATAACGTAGCTGAAGTCGACATACCTTAGTTCGAACTTACCGCGGTTCAGACGCGGTCCACACGCGGCAGGCAGGCTCCCCCGTCGACTCCGCGGTACTCCTCTCGCCGAGCTGGAGTACCGCAGTCGACGGCGAGCACTGCCGGGATTGATTTATCGCGTCCAGACCAGACGCGATAAATCGAACCCGGAAGTTCGATAGCCAGCTGTCGAACTACCGCGTAAGTATAGACATACCCTTAGCCACTGAACCCTGGTTATAACATTAGCTATGGAGTCTCTCTAAACCAACAGCTATCTGAATCCCTAGGGGTCAGAGTGTATCTGAGGCCCAGGGTTCAGTTGTCCTAGTTCCCATGGCATGATTCCTGCTCCCGCTGGGTTGGGACTGCTTGGTTTCTAGTGTAATTTATGCATACAAATGTGAACAAGTCAGATCAAGTCTGTACAGAACATATTAGAGTCTGCAATAATGAATAACGTACCCTCCCTTCTCACCAGAGATCTGTAAAGTTTCTGTCCCTTCCAGGACACAAAGTTTTATCCAGCTATTTCCATCCGTCCATAAGGAGGCATGCCTCAGAGCTTGGGGAAGCAACGGCAGCTACCGTTGGGCGAAGACGCTGTGAAATCCCCTGGGATCCTATGCTCCACGGCCCCTTTAATAAGTCGTGGCATAATATTTACACAGCGCTGAACATTGTGGAGGAGCTGGGCAGAAGTGCTCTTTTAGTAACATGTCAAGACAAGAAGCAGCTGCTTCTATTACTGTCTGGGCCGGAGTGGGAAGTGGCTGCATGCTGGGACATGGAGAGCACAGATCCGACGCAGTCTATATTCATTATTATTTATTTGTATTGGAGTAGTGCCAAGGAGTCCAGTTCTGGACTAAGACCCTGTCGTGCTAGGCTCTGTACATTTTTATTGGTCTTAGGTGTATTATGGTAGCACCGAGGCACCCCAGTCGTAGCTCAGGATCCCACTGTGCTAGGTGGTGTACATTTTTATTGCTATTAGGTGTATTACGGTAGTGCCAGGACTACCCTTGAGGTGCCTACCCTTCTCCTATCAGAAGGGAGCTCCTAATGTAGCAGGTTTCACCTTCGAAGGCCCCTGCCCCAAGCTTTTGCCAGGTACACGGACACAGGGGAGAATAACACGGTGCCGCTGAGAGCTCCTGCAATCACCTGGGAACAACCCCGGGAACGTGGCCCTTTGCAGCACGTTTGGGGAAACTGCCCAGTATCTTTAACACCCCCTCCCACCCCCTGAAAGGAAGGCAGAGGGCCCAGCTGAGGAAAGGGGTAGGGGGCGGGCAACACAGCAGTGACTCTGTGTCAGTGGAGTTACACCATCCCATTGGGTGTTTTCTCTATTCGGCCTGCCCCGCAGTCCAATTCCCCAGCACGTCCCATGTGCCACTTCCGAACTGTGGCCAAGGGGTCCCCACGGCGTGAGAATATGGCGCCTGTGGTCCTTTAGTCTGGCATCTTCAGCTCTAAGCGTGCAGCTTAGAATGGCTCGGAATGAAGTTAGAACATGATCCTACGGGACTGGAGGAACCTGCATGCAATGACATTTCGGCTGCCGTCAGAAAGGGTCCCGTTGCTGCCTTCGCCGGATGAATCCTGGCCCAGTGGGAAAGAGGGTACAGGCAGCTTTGGGGAGTCTGACCCAGCCATTATACTCTGCAAAGAGCCAGGCCGGCCATCCCAAACAGCCCTAACGAGCCGGCGAGCCCCTCCGGTGTACTAACCCAGCGCAGGCTCTGCACACTCCTTATACTGCTCCGGAGTACAGAACGGAGCGTCCCCTGCACAGAAAAGAAACACAAGACAAGAGGGAAACACGTGGAGTCAGAAATCAGAGCACGGTGGAAGGCCAGCGACTACAGCAAGAAAGCAGCTGAATTCATGCATTAGGCAGCCTCTTGTCTGTACACACAGTGCCAATAACCTGGTGCAGGTAAAGAGGCTTACACAGCCAGTGTGCAGAGTAGGGTGAGAGGCAGGGTCTGATCTGCACCTGGGCTGCACCTCTCTGGAGATCGCATACTGGAGTTGGCTGTTTCACATATAACATGGGATAAGGGTTTCCATAGCTAGTCCAGCTTGTCAGCTCCTACAGCTGAGGCTTGGTTACCCTAGGTTGGTATTTGGATGGGAGATCTCTGAGCATCATTCAGGTGCTGCAGTGTTGCTGATTAAATAAGTGGCACCTTTTCAGAATTGAAACGAGGTTGTGGCATGGTGCTATGGATCTGTAAGTGGGTGACATTCCCGAACCTGCTTCTAACGCAGCATGCACACACCAGGGACTTATTGTTAACTTGAAAAACAACAAAACAAATCCTAAACCTAAGCTTTCCCCTGAACTTGGCTGTTTTCCTGAAGAGGGCTTTTTCCCTCATTGTCCCTAGTTTCTTCTTCTGCAGAGAGACACTCAACCTCTCTATACTTCTGAATTTAACTTAATAGGGCTCATCTGGTCTGTCTGCCAGGCTGAATCAGAAGAAATAGCTCTGCCTCTCTGTTCGTTGGTCCTAGGACTTGACACTCCGTTAGAGATGCACTGTGCGGCACTCTTTCTTTGAGATGAGATATTAAAAAAAATCCCTGACCATTGGTAGTCATTCATGACCCCACATCACTTTTCACAAGGGTAGGGGGCTGGTAATTACATCCCCTTTGCAGTTTCAATGGGGCATGGTATCCTCAGTTCCTATGACAAACTATTACGCACTGTTGCTGTGAGTTTTTAATCAGCTTTTGCATTCCTCCCCCCCAGAGGTGACTGCATTTCAGTGGTGAATAAATTGATCGCAGAGTGTAGTTTGCATCTGGGGCCACAGTCAAATGATATGCATCCCAAAGAGAGTAAGAATAATTTCTGCTTCTTTATTTCCCAATCCCCATTATCCATAAGAATAGCCATAGTGGTTCAGATCACTGGTTCATCTAGCCCAGTATCCTGGCTTCCAACGTGACTTGCCACCTGCCTCAGAGGAAATTAACAGAATAGGACAATTTTCAAGTGCTCCAACCCCTGTTGTTCAGTCCCAGCTTTTGGCAGTTGGAGGCTTAGGGACAGCCAGAGCATGGGGTTGTGTTCCTGATCCTCTTGGCTAGCAGCCATTGATGGCCCTATCCTCCTTGAACTTATCTAATTCTTTTTTTGAACCCAGTTGTACTTTGAGCTTGAACAACATCCCCTGGCAATGAGTTCCACAGGTTGACTGTGCATTGTGTGAAAAACTACTTCCTTTTGTTTGTTTTAAACTTGCTGCCTATTAATTTCATTGGGTGACCCCTAGCTCTTGTGTTATGAGAAGGAATAAATAACACTGCCTTATTTACTTTCTCCACACCAGTGATGATTTTATAGACCTCTATCATATCCCCCTTAGTCGTCTCTTTCCTAAGCTGAACAGTCCCAGTCTTTTTAATCTCTCCTCATATGGAAGCTGTTCCACCCCCTAATCAATTTTGTTGTCTTTCTCTGTACCTTTTCCAATTCTAATATATCTTTTTTGAGATGGGACGACCAGAACTGCACACAGTATTCAAGGTCTGGGTGTACCATGGATTTATATAGCGGCATTATGATATTTTCTATCTTATTACCTATCCCTTTCCTAATGGTTCCTAACATTCTGTTCGCTTTTTTGACTGCCGCTGCAGATTGAGTGGATATTTTCAGAGAACTATCCACGAGGACTCCAAGATCTCTTTCTTGAGGGGTAATAGATAATTTAAACATCATCCTTTTTGATGTATACATAGGTCCTGGAACTAGGGGTGCGGGAGATGCTGCTGCACCCCCAGGCTTGAAGTGGTTTCCATTATATACAGGGTTTACAGTTTGTTTCAAAGGCTCTCAGCACCCCCACTATACAAATTGTTCCAGCCCCCCCGTATATATAGTTGGGATTAGGTTTTCCAATGCGCATTACTTTGCATTTATCAATACTGAATTTCAACTGCCACTTTGTTGCCCAGTCACCCACTTTTGTGAGATCCCTTTGTAACTCTTCACTGTCTGCTTTGGACTTAACTATCTTGAATAATTTGTGTCATCTGTTTACTCCTTTTTCCAGATAATTTATGAACATGTTGAACAGCGCTGGTCTCAGTACAGATCCATGGGGGACGCCGCTATTTACCTCTCTTCACTGTGAAACTGACCATTTATTCCTACCCTTTATTTCCTATCTTTTAACCAGTTACTGATCCATAAGAGGACCTTCTCTCTTATCCCATGACTCCTTATGTGCTTGAGAGTCTTTGGTGGAGGACCATGTCGAAGGCTTTCTGAAAGTCCAAGTACACTCTATCCAAAAGATCATCCTTGTCCACATATTTGTTAACCTGCTAAAAAAATTCTAATAGATTAGTGAGGTATGATTTCCCTTTACAAAAGCTGTGTTGACTCTTCCCCAAAAAATCATGTTCATCTATGTGTTTAATAATTCTGTTCTCTACTATAGTTTCTATCAATTTGCCTGGTACTGAAGTTAGGCTTACTGGCCTGTAATTGCCCAGGATTGCCTCTGCAGCCTTTTTAAAATATAGGGGTTCCATTAGCTATCCTCCAGTCATTTGATATAGAGGCTGATTTAAGCAATAAGTTATATACCACAGTCAGTAGTTCTTCAATTTCATATTTGAGTTCCTTCAGAACTCTTGGGTGAATCCCATCTGGTCGTGGTGATTTATTATTGTTTAATTTATCAATTTGTTACAAAACCACATCTACTGACAGTTCTCAATCTGGGACAGTTCCGTCACCTAAAAGGAATGGCTGACCTGTAGGAATCTCCTTCACATCCTCTGCAGTAAAGACCGATGCAAAGAATTAATTTGGCTTCTCCTCAACAGCCTTGTCTTCCTTGAGTGTTCCTTTCTGGTGTAATTTATGCATACAAATGTGAATAAATCAGATAAAGTCTGTATAGAACACATTAGAGTCTGCAAAGCTATGTATAAAATGAATAACGAACCCTCAATCATCCAGTGGCCCCACTGATTGTTTGGCAGGCTTCCTGATTCTGAGGGACTTAAACAATTTTTTGCTGTTTTTGTGTCTTTTGCTAGTTGTTCTTCAAATTCTTTTTTGGCCTTCCTAATTATACTCTTTACACTTGACTTGCCAGAGTTTATACTCCCTTCTATTTTCCTCAGTAGGAGCTGACTTCCAATTTTCAAAAGCTTTTGTTTTGTTTTTAACTGCTTCTTTTACTCCGTTGTTTAGCTACGGTGGCATTTCTTTTTGTCCTCTTAGTATTTTTATGTATTTATTTAGGGGATACATATAGTTTGAGCCTCTATCCTGGTGCTGTTGGGTTTTTTTAAGTTTCCACGCAGCTCACAGGCATTTCACTCTTGTGACTGTTCCTTTTAATTTCTGTGTGACTAGCCTCCTCATTTCTGTGCCGTTCCACTTTCTGAAGTTAAATGCTACTGTGGTGGGTTTCTTTGGTGTTTTCCCCCCTACAAAGATGTTAACTTTAATTACATTATAGACACAATTACCAAGCAATTTAGCTATATTCACCTCCTGGACCAGATCCTGTGCTCCACTTAGAACTAAATGAAAATAATTGCCTCTCCCCATGTGGGCTCTAGGACTAGCTGCTCCAAGAAGCTGTCATTAATGGTATCTAGAAATATTATCTCTGCATCCCGTCCTGAGGTGACGTGTTCCCAGTTAATGAGGAGATAGTGGAAATCCCCCATTACTATTGGGTTTTCTATTCTGTAGTCTCTCTAATCTCCCTAAGCATTTCACAGTCCCCATCCTTGTCAGGTGGTCGGTAGTATATTCCTACTGTTATATGCTTATTATTCAAGTGTGGAATTTCTATCCAGAGAGGTTCTATGGTACAGTTTGATTCATTTAAGATTTTTACTGTATTTTACTGTATTTGACTCTATGCTTTCTTTAATGGATAGTGCCACTCCATCACCAGTTTGACCTGCTCATTTAGTTGGTGTTGGTCCTGCTTTGAGCAGGGGGTTGGACTAGATGACCTCCTGAGGTCCCTTCCAACCCTGATCTTCTATGATACTCTGACATTCCGCTATATTTTGCACCCTGGTATTACTGTGTCCCCTTAATTATCATCATTCCACCAAGTTTCTGTGATGCGTTTTATAACAATATCCTCATTGAATACCAGGCATTCACCTATCTTAGTATTTAGACTTCTTGCATTTGTGTACAAGCACAGTTAAAATTTGTCAATATTTAGTTAGACTCATAGACTTTAAGGTCAGAAGGGACCATTATGATCATCTAGTCTGACACCCTTCACAACGCAGGCCACAGAATCTCACCCACCCACTCCTGTAACAAACCCCTAACCTATGTCTGAGTTATTGAAGTCCTCAAATCGTAGTTTAAAGACCTCAAGGTGACTTCATGTGATGTAACTGTATGGGACTCTTTTTCATTTGACTGTTTCTCTTCAGTTCCTACCTGTATGTTATCAACTACTATCCTCTCCTCTTTCCTGGGTATGGAGTATCCCCTTTCATAAATCCTCCTCTAAGGAATGTCTCTATCCGCATCTGTTGGCTTTCCCCCGGCCCTTAGTTAAAAACTCCTTTACAACCTTTTAAATTTCCATGCCAACAATCTGGTTCTGTTTTGGTTTGGGTGGAGCCCATCCTTTCTCCTTTCCCAAAAGATTCCCCAGTTCCTAATAAACCTAAATCCCTTCTCCCAACACCATCGTCGTCTCATCCATGCATTGAGACCCTGAAGTTCTGGCCCTGCACGTGGAACTGGAAGTGTTTCAGAGAATGACACCTTGAGCACATGGACTTTAATCTCTTACCTAGCAGCCTAAATTTGGCCTCCAAGACCTTTCTCTTACCATTCACCTATGTCACTGGTACCTACATGAACCACGACTGCTGGCTTCTCCCCAGCACTGCCCAAAAGTCTGTCTAAATGTCTAGATGTCTAAGCGAGATCTGCAACCTTCAATCCCAGCAGGCAATTCACCATGTGGTTCTCCCAGTCCAGTAACTATATTTCTAATACAAACCCAACTATCTATAGTTCTAACAATCAAATCCCCCCTCACTATTGGCTAATAATAGTAGTGCTTCCCTAGTGTTTCCGGTGAGTGTTTCCTTCATATGTAGTGATGAATTTTAACTGCAAACACACTCTAGGCTCCTGAGATCCTGCAGGAGCCCTGGGTTCAGAGAGACAGCAGCAGCCTTGCAGCCTACTTCGTGTACATGAACTGAGCCTAAACCCTCTAGCAGTTTCTAGCCTAAACACCTGCTTCAGGCACCTGGGGTGAAATCCTGGCCCCACTGAAATCAATCGGTGCTTTGGCATTGGCATCAATGGGGGTCAGGAGTCTACCCCGCACCGTAATGACTACTGGGATGCTATGGGTAGGGGCAGGAATCTATTAATCTTCCTTGCTCAGCAGAGCCAGTCCGCACCTAGGTGTGATGTCCTACGGGCCTGGATTCTGTGCGACAGGCGGACCAGTGAGGTTGGGACAAAGGAAAGGTTGGTCTCCAACTTTTGTGCTCAATGCAGTACAGAGTGGGGGTGGCATAAGGCAGCTGTTGAGGCTGGCCAGGAGCCAGTCCTGCTCCAAGGGGACATTCTGCCAGCTGGGGCTCCTGGGAGCACTCTGGCCACATGCTCTAGGCTGGGCAAAATGCCACTACTGCAGCATCTGTACAACATCCAGGAACTGCCCCTAGGCAGGGCGAACCCATGGGGAGCCAGAGGGGCTGTGTTTCTGGCTGCTTTGTGCCACTTGGAGCAGTACAAAGTAGCCGAGCAGAGCCAGGCCTCAAGGTCCAGGCGGCCAGTGGGATAAATCATGTCTCTCTGTCGTACAGAGTGACAGGAAGCAACATAATAATAATGCCTAGCTCTCATCTAGCACTTTCCATCAGTAGATATGAAAGCACTTTACACAGGGGGGAGGGGGGAGTCAGTATTATTACCCCCATTTTATCACTGGGGAAACTGAGGCACGGGGAGGGGTACTGATTTGCCCAGGATCACCCAGGAAGTCAGCAGTAGAGCGAGGGTGAGAATTCAACTCTCCTGAGTGCCAGGTCAATGCTCATGCCACTAGGCCAGCCTGGCTCCCTTCACAAGCAAGGGCTTTTAAAGATGAACCGTTGGCACGTACACAGCCCCTTCCAAGCGCCGAGCTTGATCCCGCAACCCTGTCTCATTGTGGAGGCTGCAGACGTCACCACTGAAATGCAGACACCATCCAGCGCCCTGTGGGAGGCACCAGAGCAAACCCTTGCGGTCCCGAAAAGTACCCTGGGGAGCCCACCACATCAGGGCTTCCAGGTCCCACCTGAGATGATGGGGCTACTGTCCTACTGCCAAAACAAGAGCCTAAGGCATCAGCCCAACCACACGCATTCAGGTCCGTTCCACGCATCCCCAACACAGACTGACCTGGCATGTGGACCATTTTGCAGTTGCAGTTTTCCACAATGTAGCGGGTTTCACAGTCAATCCTGCAAGCCGTGATACTGTATACGGGGAAAAAGTCTAACCCCACATCCGACGAGCGACACTCGCCCCACGGAGGGGGCAGGTAGGTCAGCTGCAAGAGACAGAAAGAGCCGGCTGTTAGTAGATCACAGGCATCAGCCGCAGCGTAGAAGGCGCTTGGGGGAAGATGTGTGAAGGGGAAGCTTTGCTCTTTAACAGATCCTGGCGGCGAGCAAGGCGCTGCGTGTGTGTGTCTCTCTCATTGTGTCGGGCCCTTCGAGATAGAGGAGCCCCGCTGGGTGAAGGACGAGAGCAGGACTGTAATAGCACAATGGCTGTGTTAAGTGGGGACTGAGCGGGAGGCCGACACAGCAGCTAGCCAATGTTAGGAGCATGCACAGTCACTGATGGAGTTTTGTACTGCTAAAGGGGAGTGGGACTTGGGGACTCCACTCTGCTCTGCCAGGGAAGAGACCTAAGTGTAGTGACACATCACAAAACAGAACAGGCAGGCAGCCCTTGGCAGGCAGATCTCCCTTGCTGTGGTGCGGAAGAAACTGGTAGGTTCCCAGAAAAAACCACCCAACCAGCCCAGGAACAATTTCCCCAAGAATGGTTTGCTTCGGCGATGCCATTTAGCAGTGGGGGAGCGGAGCTGCCTGGGACTCAGGTAAAAGGCAGCGGCCTGCGTTTGCCAAGGTGACTAGAGATTCTTGGCGCCTCGTGTTTTGGGTGCCCAATTTGAGACCTTTTTAGGGCAGCCAGAGTCACTCGTCCCCTTTGACAATGCAGGCCAACAGCCATGCAGCGGTGGGATGAGGTAGGCAAATTTGAACAGCTCCAGATGGGGTCCTGAACCCCACGTGGGAGGCACTGGGAGCTGTGCTTTAGGGAGGCAGTGTGGCCTAGTGGATGGCGTGTTGGCGCAGGACTCAGGAGGCCTGGATTCTACCCCTGACTTTGCCACTGCTTTGTTAGGTGACCTTAGACAAGTCACTCTCCCTCATCCCCCCGTTCCTTGCGCTTCAGTTTCCCCATCTGTGACCTGGGGATAATGATACTCCCCTGCTCTGCGATCAAGGAATGAACAAACTCTCTCCGAGACAGGAGTTGTTATTATTCCCAACAAAGAGTACAGCTCTGTTATTTTGTAACTGTCCAGCGATTCTGAGTGTCTCAGCTTTTGGGGTAAGGCAAGTCGGGTCTGATTCACCGAGGCGCTGAGCTCCTGCAGCTGCCACTGATACCGCACGGCGCCGGGGGTGCCCAGCACCTTCTGAGAGCCAAATCAGGCGACGAAGAATTCAGGTCCCCAGAATCACTGGGCGCTTTTGAAACTCCTGGCCAATCTCTTGGGGATTTGCAGCCCAGCCGGCTTATACAACACAGCCTCCTTCTGACACCAGTCCCTGTTTTGCATGAAATTAACCGGTTTTTCAGTGTCTTCAGGGGAATGTTTTTTGAGGGGAGGCTGTTTCTCTCCAGCTCAAGGGCCCAGCCTCTCTAGCTGGGGCTGTAACAGACTCACATGCTCGGTGGATCAGGCACAAGAGGGGCCCTGTGGGCACACTCAGTAGTGGGCTACAGCTCATGTATCCTGCTGCGTTTAATGGAGTGACTCCTCCCTGCCACGCCTTCTGTGGCTGGGGCCGTCCCATCTAGGGTGAGCAGATTATCAAAGTGAAAAACGGACGGCTGTCCCTGGGGCGTGTGGGGGTGGGGAACAGGGCAGCAGCAGGGGATAGTTTAGGTGGACAGTCAACCAACACCCCCGCCCCTTCCCCCTTCTTCTATGGATCTGACTCTGTACAGGAAGGGCTGGGGACTTATGGGGTGGGTGGTCTGACTGGGAGGCCTAGTGCAGGGTGTCAACCATCCTGGTCCCCCCAAGCACACCTCATGTCTCAGGATGGAACCCTGCACTTCTCCCGTCCCAGACTGGGCCCGGGCTGTATCGCCCGTGATCATCCACCAGGTCCGATTTATGTCCCGTTCTGGGACAATGAAAGTGGTACCCAGTGACCAGACAGCCACCTTAAAGCAAGGCATCACTTCTCCAAACAAAAGCATTTCAAAGAAAACCAGATTGTAAAACAATAAACCAGACTACAGGCACGTCTAGCATAGCAGGTGTCTAACCGTCTTCCACGTGGAGATCCTGAGAGGTCTAAGCTGCCTATAGACCCCCAGACTGCTAGGGTCTCTCTGGCAGAATCTGTTCCCTTAATCACAAACCATTTCTCTCTCAGCCTTGGGCGAGAGAATCCTTTAACAGCTGTTCCTTTGGTCACCCCCTTCACAGGAATCAAGTCCCTTTCTGGCCTTTTAACCTGTAAGTTCCCAGCACTGGCATAACAAGGCTTGTAGCTTGTTGGAGACAAGATATAAGATCTTCGAAGCTAAACAGCTTCTTGTAATTGGCGCCCAAGAGTTTGTTCAGAGGTTGCTTATCTGGATCCAGTGTACTGCTTCCCTCCTCTCCCCCTTATTAAGCTAGAACAACACATTCACACAGGAAACTCTTATAACCCAATAGACAATAACTTCCCCTCACGGACCAGATCATTCCGTTATTACATCTCAATAGGTGATTACGTAGCTGGGCCACACCCCTACTGCAGGGTGGGTCAAGCGTCACCCCCTGAGAGGCCTGGGGGATGGGGCAGCCCCTGTGGACAGTTTCACTTCCCCAGGGAGCTCCTTCAGGTGACCACTTTGCAGAGGTTACAGAAAACTCAATGAGGCACTGGGGTTGGTAACCCTGACAGGGAGCAGGGACGTCGCTAGACACCCTGTTCCCATCAGCATGAGGGGAGGACTGGAAAGGCTCCCTACAGCACTGATCTCTGCTGCTCCTTCATCAAGCAGAAGCAGCGACTGTGGAGTGGTGCACAACAGCGGCTGAGTATTCTGTCTTGCCAGGTCTGGGACCAAGGCAGTATCAAACCCAGGTCTTGTGGTATTTCGAGGATTGGGTAAGAATTGCAAGCACCACTTCAAATGTCAGGGGGTTTCCTGGTCCTGCTTGCAAGCTAGGGCTCTTTAGAGAAATATGAGATGATTAGCAGCCAGTCAGCCTAGACTAAGATGGGTTGTGCCTCTCTGTTTTCTGGGGAGCAGCCTGTTTTGTCTCACGCTGTTTTGGGTTCTTGTGTGTTATCATTCTGATTTCTGAGAAATAAAGTTGTGTTGCGTTGCAACCTTCCAGCAAGAGTATTCTATGTTTTTATCGAATTTCTCCGATGGTGTGCCGTGAAACATAGCAGGTCTCTTGTGCAGGAGTTCAGAGCAGTAAGTAACCACAGACCCACTAGTCCCGCAGCATCACCTGGCTTTGTTAACTCACTAAACGTATTGCCTCTTGGGAGAGCAGTCTGTAGTGTTTAGGTGCAATTCCTGGATGGGCTAAATTCCTGACAAAATCCTTCCTGTAGCCATAAAGATCTAGGTAAGTTTTAAAATGAATCTTTACTCCTTGTCATCATGACAGTATCTCTGGATGATAGTTGATGTTTCTTGTACAGCAGCTGTGAGATGGAAGGCAGCGTCCTGATGAATCCCGCGCTTTCGGGGGTTTGTGTCATGAGAAATTACAGATAGTACTTCAAGGGGAAATTCATGCACTGTAGTAAGCTGACAGATTCTCTCAGGTGGTTATAAACTTTATGACTCTGTGTGGATCAGAAAATGCACAGGCAGGGCCCTGCTTGGGAGAGGAGAGTGCCCGTGGTGTGGAATATGCCCAGAGGTCAGGACTGCATATGTCTTGAAAGAAGGAGCATATTTTGGAGCGTTTAAAGCCCATAAAACCCATTTCCCAAGTGCTTTCTGGCATGCAGCTGCTTTAGATTTTGATGAAAGTGTTCCCATTTCTGCCCCTTTGGCTGATAGCCGTGCTAGGGGTCAGATGGTGATTGCAATTGGACTGTGCCACCCAGTCAGTTCCAGTGGTGTGGATTCCACCTACATCTTGCACTGTTTCCCCCCCCCTGGCTGTTTGCAACTGCTGCAAGAGCTCTGTGGATCCATACACCCTTTTAGGGACCTTCACTCTTCACTGCTCACTTCCAATCCAAGGTTTTCCTGACGGGTTAAGCAATACTGTTTAATGCCCTAACCTAGCAAAGCACGGAACATCCTCAATTCCAATGGGATCTGAGGTTGCTCAGGACTTTGAAGGAGGCACTCAGCGTGACCCAGCAGAAAGCCCTGAATACTGAATAGGGTCTGACTCATTCCCCGTGTCCATTATGAACCTCACATTGGATTCAAGACTAGATTCTTTTCCGCAGCTCTTCATGATGTTACGTTTCAGAGCACAGCTGAATAACCCAAAGCCTGGGGAATTTCAGGGGCTACTAGGACCATGTTGACTGCTCTATTTAATTTGGTGTCATGGGCAAGTATCTCAGTGGTGGCAGATGACAGAACAAGGAGTAATGGTCTCAAGTTGCAGTGGGGGAGGTCTAGGTTGGATATTAGGAAAATCTTTTTCACTAGTCGGGTGGTGAAGCTCTGGAATGGGTTCCCTAGGGAGGTGGTGGAATCTCCTTCCTTAGAGGTTTTTAAGGCCCGGCTTGACAAAGCCCTGGCTGGGATGATTTAGTTGGGGGTTGGTCCTGCTTTGAGCAGGGGGTTGGACTAGATACCTCCTGAGGTCCCTTCCAAACCTGATATTCTATTATTCTATGATGCGATCCCGAATGAGGCACTTTCCCTGGACGTACTGGCCCGATTCTGATTTCAGTTCTAGTGGTTCATCTATTCGTTATTTATTTATAGGCTCACCATTGTAGCAACTGAGCACCTGTGAGGGCAGCAGTATTATCCCCAGTTAGTAGATGGGGAAACTGAGGCCCAGAGAGGCAAAATGACTTGTCCGAGATCATGCTGCAAGTCAGTGGCAGAGCCGCAAAGCGCACCCGGCTCTCCGGACTTCCAGATCATCCTTTATTGGGTTATTTCTTCCTGCTGCCCCCTGAGATCTTTGCTCTGTGCACAGAGAACAGCACACCAGGGGCATGCCGGAGGTGGGGGGAGGGAGAAGCCATGTCCAGCAGGATGCTTGGCTGCTCAATTCAGTTGCTCCTGGTAGCATGAGGCCAGTAGGGT